TCTATCGCCCTCTTTTTACAGCGATTCCACCCAATCGGGGCTTTCTCGTCTTTCCACCGAGTCTCCCTCTGATTCTCTTGCCAAGATTCCTAACCACCACTGGAGGGGTTTGCAGGGGAAGGGGGGGGGGGTCACTGTGCTCTCTTTGAGAGCATGTACCTCCAATGGAATGGATCCACATTTGTGCATGTTCACATTCCTACATTGACAATGTTGTGAGTCATGCGCTTGAGGCAGAGAGTTGTCATACTCCAAGACAAACATATTCATATCATGACCAAATGTAATGTGATTTGTGTCCTGCATGTAAATCCCCCTCTGAAGCGCTGCTGACAAACGTGGCCGCCCTCTGCCGTCACACCGCGTGGTCTTGATGAGGCAGCTATGCTCTGCGGTCAGCATGAGTTCTAATAGCAGCCCGCCATTGTGTTTTGTGTCTTCTCGCTTCAGGAAGTTCGGCGAGCGCCCTCAGCCACAACGCCTCACCAGGTGAGATCACGCACGCATGCATGCTTGGTTCATGTTGTTCTCCATTTTACTTTTTGAAATGACACTTTTGTGTGCATGTTTGTAGGAGGGAGACTGTGTTTGTGTATCTGACAGAGAGAGACTGTAATGTGTGTGCATGTGCGTACGTGCACGTGCAAGAGAGAAACTAAGGTGTGCATGAGACAGACAGACAGACTGTCAAGTGTGTATGTGCGTGCACATATGTGTAAGAGAGCAGTAACTAACACGTTCTACAAGGTTTGTGCCTTTTCGAGACTTTAAGGTGTGTGCGTGTGTGAGAAAGACGGAGAGATTGAAAGGTGATTGAGAGAGACTGTAAGGTTGTGCATGTGTATAGGAAGAAGAGAGACTGAATTGTGTGCGTGCGTGCGTGCGCGAGCGCTCGTGTGTGTGTGTGTGTGTGTGTGTGTGTGTGTGTGTGTGTGTGTGTGTGTGTGTGTGTGCGCCTGTGCGCGTGCAGGCTCACTCGAAGTGCAAATGTCGGGCATTGTGTTTTCAGTCTTGACAGGGCTTCCCCTAAAAAGCCCCCGCAGGACTTATACTTTTAGCTGCCCATGCTTCCGCCTGACTGAAAACAAGGCGGCACAAGTGTGATATTCATGAGCTTTGAGACAAAGCTTACATCGAGGTGTATTTCACTGTGTCCTATGACGCTGTTTCGATTGCGCTCGCCATGTTTCGCCGCAAATTTTTGTTTTCCTCCGGCAATCAGATAAAAACTCTGTGGTGCGCTCTGAGCAGCACTTGGCCACTTGTAAAGATGACAGAGCTTCCGCCGGGGCCGTCTCGCGGCGGCATATACGGTTTCCCGTGATTGCTGCCGCATGCGAGGCTTCGAATCCATTAACGTTTTTTTACAGGATGCAACGAGGTGGATGTCAGCGCTATAAACGGCTTGGCGGATGACGGCAAGATATAAAAACCCGCTGTGAGTGAAAGCTTAATTGCGTCATAGAGAGGGCCGCGCTTTTACGTCTGGAAGGGGCCCCCAGAGTTGGGCCTGACCTAACTTTGGCTTATTTCAATGAAATGAAGCTGGGCCAAATTCTTGTGGCACTTATGGCCATTACCAGGATCACTTTACATGCGGTCAATATTTAACTGTGTAAAGAAATCTGATGAACTCGTAATAACAATATTAAATATTCAGTGACATTTGGAAAATGACACCGTGGGGAAGGTCTGCGTGGTGAATCAATTTTATCGATTCATTTATTTGTCAGGATCATTTTTTTTCTCGGCTCCTGTAGTTGCACCCCTACTGCTTGTACTAAAAACATTGTTGCGGCCAGGCAAAACACGAGCCATCGCATCCAGTTCTTTTACAGTCCGACGGAATGACTTGATGTCTGGTGGAGAGGGAAGGGGACGACAAAGACAAGCACTCGCGCCAGGAAATGTATTATTCCGTTCATGGATCAAACATCTGATGGGAATTTTAGCAAGAACAGCAACTTTTACAAATAATACTGAAACATCGAACAGCTATATTTGCGTCTGTACATCCGGTGAATATACAAGGTAGGAATACGAATGCCTTGTCACTTTCGTGTCAACTACAAACATGACAAGTGGATCAAAAGAACTACAAGGCTGCTGCTTGAATATTCCGGAAGTTAGAAAATAAAATTGGCCTACATAGCTCTAACTCTGCCTGCTTGGTTTGTGGTATCAATGTTTTAGTGTCGGAACATTTACTAAGCCACAGTATGAACGAAAATACAGACGCAATCCTGGTTTCGGTGAACCCAAATTAACATTGTGAGCATACTTACTCAGGGACTGCAATTCGATTGTCTTGTTGCCCTGCTCTAAATTTCCCGATTCATTTTCAACCGGATCAACCTTAATCTCCTTCAGCGGCCCCCCCCCTCGTTCCAAACGGCCCCTCCCGCACGCACACATGCACGCACTGTGAGGGGCCTCTTGGTTACCATAACAAAGGCCCCGTCTAACCCGAGCGTGTGGCGTGGAGTTGCGAGGCAGAGTGGGAAGCGCGAGCGTGTCAGGTGTCACTGACATCTGTGCCTGAGCGAGGGGCGCGTTGACGGCCGCGCGCGCGTCAGCTCCTACCCTTTCCCCTTCCCAGCCGGTCGTCAACGGTTCAGCTCAGCGCCGCCCCCCTCCGA